TGCACTATGGGTTGAAAGCAAGTAGCAAGGAATTAACAAAGGAATATATAATGCAGCCTCTTCTAAGTGCTGTTGAACATCTTACTGTAAAGTGGGTTAGGGAGGGAGCAAAAATGATCTTATGGAGCCACAGTAGATGTTAATCTCCTTATGATTGCTGTCAGTAATACCACTTATGTGTTTAGAGCAGAATTTAACTTGTTGTAATATACAGTACATCTGTATCAGTCCATGAAGTGGGAATCCTCTTTGGAGAGGTTAAAGTATTAGTGTTTGTGAGTGGTAAAACCAAAACAGCACAGCTGCTACCTATCTGTCTCCACCAAACTCCTAAACCAACTTGGAAGGTTGACAGGAGTTTGGCTGGTTTTCTAAACCTGTTGGTTTGCAAATAAGGAAATGAGATTTCATGCCAGGTGCCCAAGTTAGTTGGAGCCATAATGGTACTCTTTCCACATAAGCTGCTTTTGCATTAATAATATGAAACCAGTGATAGATTATAAACTAGAAATTGAAATGACTACTGTAGTCGAGAAGTATTTTAGTTCCATAAGGAATATATTGTTCTGGTCTATAAGGTCAGTTGTCACTAAACTTGGGAAAAATGTTCTTTGGGCCCAAGAGCCCAGTGTAAAAATAACTTTTGCCTTCCAAACTCATAAGTAGATGCTAATTTAAGATGCTTCGATGTGTGTAAACAATTTTAGAAGCAGAAAGATGACACAGGAGTGTATGGCAAAGTTTACTAAGAAAAGACTTTTATTTTACTCTTGTTTTGAAAGGTCTTCCCTTTGAGTAATTTGAGCTGTATCATTTGCAGAAGAGTCCTAAAAATTTCAGTGACCTTTATGAAATAAACCGCATGCAATGCCAGGAAACAGTAGAGGCTCACAGCTACACGGGAAGTTCATGGCTTGGACGACGTTTAATCAACATGTATATCAAATTTCAGTAATTTCTCTGTAATGTTACATTTAGATAAGGCTTTTGTTCTTTGTTTTTATAGAAGTTATGTTAAAGATGTCTTTTGAAGTACATCTGAGAATTGATGGATTACTATACAAGGAATATATAAGAAACATCCATAAAGTCTAAAGACCAAAGCATGTTTAGGAATTCAAGGGGGCAGGAACATGACTACCAAGGTACATTTACTTGGGCAAACTTGATTGCCAACTTAATCTTCTAAACTGAAATTTACACTTGCTACCTCATTACATATTCAAATTTATATTTCTATTGACTTTTGTAATTGACTATCTGAAATGCCCCAAGTTTTAACCTGACTTTTAGAAATTTCTTCTTTAACTTTGGAAGTAGTTGAAGTTACTTCCTCAGCTGAAATAAAACTTCCTTTTTTTTTTTTTTTTTTTTTTTTTTGGGGGGGGTTAAATATGTGCTGGTAAAATTATGGATTTTCAGGAATAACTGTGTTTCTTCCTACAATTTTAATCATAAAGTGAAATCCAAATACAAACATGTATCAAATTGATGTGATTAGGTTCTTTTTGGTTTGGCATCCATTAAAGTTTGAACTTTGTCTTGTAACATGCTGATGTAACAGTTTCTGCCTGGCATATATGTACAGATACAGACACAAATGGCTTGAGATGATGCTTTTAATTACAGTTGCCCCTTGGACAACTTGGGTTTGAAATCGTGGTTCCATTTACAGGGATTTTTTTCAATAAATACAGTGGTCTCAATGTGTTTTCCTTAGATTTTTCTTAACATTAGCTTGCTATAAGAATACAGAATATACATACAACAACAAAATATGGTGACTGATTTTGTTATTGGTAAGGGTTCTGTAACAAGACTATTGGTAGTTAAGTTTTTGGGAAGTCCAAAGTTACACAAGGATTTTTGATGGGGGGGCAGGGGCTCCCGACCCTCTCCTCCTTCACAGGTTAATGGAACTGAAATTAGGGTAAACAGCAGAGGAACATTTTCACTTTGAAATTGTTACTGTTGATGTTTTTCACCTAGTCTCTACAGATAATCCGTCTTTACTGAAAATAAATTGATAAATATTCACACCCTAGTTACACAGTGGTAATCTTTGTTTAGGATTTTATTTTTTTGATCAAATACACACTTTCTTTAAAAACAAGTTTTACATTACATTTTACCCAAGGTAAAATGCTTTGGAAGTGTGAATATCAGATTTACTAAAAATGGAAGCCAGGGTTATTTTCAGACCATGCAAATTTCCTTTATTTCCTCTAGTTTACTTGGAGAGAGGATGTGGGAGCGAAGAGGTCACCATTTAAATTTCACAAAATAACTTTGCTAAATATGAAACGGATGGTACTGTTTCGGTTTTAGTTCTTTTAGAAAATCTAGCTTTACATTAAATTTCAAACGAATTCCTTAAATGTTTTAGGACATTTGGTAAAACCACTCCTTTTTTAACCCTTGTGATAAAGTTATGAATAATACTATCTGCCCCTTCCTGGTTTTTTAGTCTTCACGGGAATCAGTCCGTGACTTCAAATGGGTGTGCAGTATTTGAGCATTTAAAAAAAAAAAAAAATCCTCAAATTGGAGGCTTATTTTAAAACCAGCGATTAGAGAAAATAAAATAGTTTTCGTCTCAAAGATTTACCCGGAATAATATGAATGAATGTATTCGGTACCTCGCGTGCCATAGTGTTTTCGATCTTAACAAACTAGCCTTAACAAAACTTTTACATTTCCAGTGGAAACGTACATCAACTTTTGTTTAGTATTGCCAAAAAGGAATACTTACTAAGGCGTAAACATTCTCAGACGTGGTTATAAAGAAGAGTGAAGGAAATACTGGTAAATATCCAAACAAGATGTTTTACCATGTATATTTTTAAATGTAGTGTAGATAATTTAGCTAAAGAAACAGATCTTGCAGGAATACCGTCTGGTTCGTTGCGTCTGAAACATTAAAGAAATCCTGGAGTACACAGAAAATTTTTTAAAGCATGTTGGGGGCATACGGCGTATCTTCCTCTTATTCAAACAATTGTACGTGGGTACTATGCCTTCTTTCTGCCGAGTCCTCCCTGCTGTCCGTCATCTCAGGAGCTGCCGGCGCGGACTCGGTGCGCGGTTGAGTCCCGGCGGTCTGGTTCCGGGTGGGCGGGCCGTCGCGCTCTCGCCCGCAGGGAAGTCAGGCCGGTCGCTAGTGGGCGCTGTGGGTCCGTGGAAGCCGTCGGCGCGGTGGCGCGCGTCCAAGGCGTTCTTTGGGAAAGCACTTGCCGAGAACCAAAGTGAAGAATTCCTGTCACCTCTCCATTTGGGCGTTATTTGTCACCGTCACCCTAAATTCTCGGTCACCTTGGGGAGGCGTGAGTGTGTCCCAGAGACTAGTTAAGGAGAAGGTCCCGCGGCCGGGCCAGCGACACTTTCAGGGAACGCCCGCAGCGAGGTGCGGAGGGTGAGGGGGCAGGACCCATCGTCGGCCGCCCCGCTGGCGCCCCTTCCCCAGGAGTCGTATGCATCCCTGGCCCCCGTTGACTTTGGTCGGGCCTGAGCTGACGTTAGGTACCGAAGTCAGGTGTGAAACACAACGCTCGGACGGCTGCTGGGGGCAGCGAAGGGATGCGCGTACAGGGTGTGAGCCGGTCCCGCAGAGGGCACACTCCGTGTAAAACACGGAGACCCGCGGGAAAAGCCTTCCATTCCGCAGGGAAAGTTTCGCCCTCGACGTTGTCTCTCTGTTGAAGTTAGAATGCTTGCCCGGCAAATGAAGGCGCGTGCTGGGCGCGGGGACAGGTGGCCCCGTGCTGTCCCCTCTCCCCTCTCTACCGTCCCGAACAGCGTCCCCACCCCGCCGCTTGAGGGGCGCCGGTGCAAGCGTCAGGGCCGGGTCTTTGGCGGGCCCGGCTGCGCTCCTCTTGCGCCACCGCCCGGAGCCGGAGGCGGGGCTCACCTGTCAGCCGGCGCCCCGCCTCGCGGCGCCCAATGTCGGGCGGGGGTGGATGACGGACGGGTCGGCTGCCCAACCGGCGCGCGGCTGCCGGGCCGCAGGCCAATGGGCTGTGCGGCGCGGGGCGGGGCCCCGCGTTTATAGTGCTCTGACAGCGCGCCGGCCGCGCTGACTCTCCTCGGCGGGGACGGCGGCGCCGGCGGGAGCTAGGAGCCGCGCGCACAGCGGTCCCGGCGCCCTCCCCGCACACAAAGGCCCGCGCGCGTCCGGCGCCCGCGGCGGGGACCGAGGCCCTCCTGCTTGCTCCGCGGGCCGGGAGCCGCGAAGACCGAGGAGGCTCCCGCGCGCCCGCAGGCGCCTCTCGCCGCTCTGCGCTCCGGGACATGGAACCGCGCCGACGCGGCGCCCGCGCGCTCGGGCCGCTGCCCACCCCCCTGGATCTATAGTGCGAGGCGGCCCGCTCGGAGCGCAGCGTCCGCCGCCAGCGCGAGTCGTCTCTCCGCCTTTGTGTCCCGGCCGCGCGCCCTCCCTGCCGCCCCGCGCCCGGCATCCTGGAGCCACACGGGAGCCTGCCGTCCGAGCTGCGTCCGGCGCGGCGCCCCGGAGCCCCGAGCCCGCCGCGCCGCCGCGCCCCGCGCGTGCGCGGACGGCAGGCTCCCGTGTGGCTCCAGGATGCCGGGCGCGGGGCGG